TAAACTTGTGAATTATCTGCGTAATGATGCACTCTGCACGTGTTTAAATATTTATTAAAGTCGGCAATATATAAGGAAAACAGCAGATATTGAATCAATTTTTATTTGGAATGATGTATTTTAGCAGCATGCATCAAGTATACCTGCTTTTTTACTGTAAACAATAAAAGGTTTTATAAAACATCTTGGTTTTCTCAAAATTCCCACCAGCAACAAAAATATGGCAAAAAATTTCAGCTATTCATAGCAACCTCTATGTTTTAGGTAAGAAATGAGCCTGTGTTCATCATTAGCTGCCCCAACAAGCTTCTTACATTCAATTTCATCGAAAAGTGATAAAGTTTTCAAAAATTAAAAAAAAAATCTTTTTTTGAAGATTCATAACTTCTTAAAGATGCAAAATTGTGTTAAGATAATTAAATCGCCTCTGGACATCTACATATTTTTTTCTAATTTCGTGTACGTTAAATTTCATTTCAAGGTATTTGTTAGTAACACTAATACTGCTTTGAAAACAGCTAAAATTTTATTTAAGGGCGCCATATTCTTTAAATAGTGTTTTCCATAAAGACAAATATTTTCAAACATTTAATACATATCTTGCCATCTGAGCATTTTCAGACGCCGCAGTAAAACGAATACAGGTGTAAGAAACGATCAAACCATCAAGGTTTTTAGGTACCTACTGAAATCTACGAAAATACTAACTTTTTTATATATAACTCCACAGGTAAATATTCTTATAACATTTACTTGCTTAGTCCATATATATAATATTGTTTACTTTTATTTATTAGTACGTGAAAATAATTCTTAAAATGTGGGGTTAGGATAACAGCAAACGCTTGTTTTACAAACCGACGCTTTAGTACGAAAACATGCTATCTCAGATTTCGGTTAGAAAACATGCTATCTCAAATTTCAGTTGGAAAACATTCTATCTCAAATTAAGCTTGGAAAACATGCTAACTCAGATCTTTAGATAAAAACATGCTATCTCAGTGTGACTAGAAATTTAAGTTGGCACATTGAAAGATTGAAACCGTGCATTTATAATAAACTTATATAACATATTTTTAAAACGCTTTTTTTAGTTATTATTTTATTTGAGTAAATTTAAATAGTAACAATGAATAAACAGAACATCAAGGATTTTATTTTTGTGCTTATTTTTGTTATACACATTTTACATTTCAAGATTTCAGTACCTAAAAACGTCAGAAATTCGACTATTTCTCGGCGAGGGACAGTGGCGGCGCGTGAACATTGATTGACTGTGTTCTGCTTAGGGTTGTTACATTTGTTGAATTGAATTCCGGGATATTAAGTGCCCGGAATCTCTAAACGGCGCCACAGGCGACAATTTTTAAAATTTTTAAGGTCACGCGTTTTCCTGGCACTTCTGAATTTCAAGGAACAATCAATTTATACAAAAATACAGATTTTCACAAGAATGATTTTTGAAATTGATACCTTTTTGAAATATCTATTCACGAATTACCTACTGACTGATAAATAAATTGGAATAAACTAAATATGTATATTTTATTAAATTATTGAATATTGTTTATAAACAAAAAAATCGTTTGTGAAGTTTACCAACGATTCAACGAATTTTAATTTTCCTCGTCGTGTTATGATTTTTTCTTTATCTTTCTTTATACAATGTACATATATTATATTCTGGGGGGTTATATGTACAAATCCGGAATCCGGGACCATACAACTAATTCCCGGTACAATCACAGAAAATCCCGGTCATGCCCATGTGGCTAGATGTTTTTTTAATATGTCGTCAAGATCTGCACTAAAATTTATGAGTCCACGAAACACATCAGGGTTGTCCGAATTTTCTGTCTCGTCGTGTCCGCGAAGTGCTAATTCGCAAGCTCCGCAAAATTATATGCAATCTATTAGATAATACATACCTAACGATTTTCCGTTACCTGTTCATTGTGTTTCCGTATATTATTCCAATATGCAGAATCTAACTGACTTCATATGTTTATTTATCTAATGACTTAAATGACTTAAATTTTTCACACCATATATTGTCCATGCTTTATCCTCACCGAAAAGTAAGCACGGGAAACAAAACAGTGTATTTTTTACATAACACCCGCACACCCACTCTGCTTTTGTGTATACATTATTGTTAAATTGTCTTTTACAACTTTTATTTCGGCTTGTTCCACTAACTTCAATATTTAATCGTGGTGTTGGCCCACCTAATTCTTTTATTTTTAGTATATCCTCATAAGGCAGAGAACCAAATAAAGTTTTTTGTAAAAACGTAACGCCATTCATTTTAATAACTATAATATCCGTAGAAGCCTAAACAAGAATATTCACACGAGCCGCCACGTACGAAATATTACTACATTTACTGCAGCAGTGGCTGTCGCTGTTGCAGCCACATAAGCCCATTATGTTCGTGTACTGTGTCACATGCCTGATTAGCCAATAAAAACAAAGGACACATCTAATTGTTCGCTGTGCACACATTTTGTATATGAGGTTGCATATATTAAGGAGCGGAGCTCGCGTCGTAATAAATAATTATTTAAGCTGCTTTAAATATTTTGTTGATATTTAATATGATTAAATACATCAAATTTTATGTGTTCTGCAGCTCCGCAGCTCTTATGGTACAACCGCCACTGGCGAGGGATATGGTCACCTTAAATATGAAAACTAATATTATAAAGCTCTGTAGCACATCACAAGTAAAACTAAAAAAAATAGGTTTATCTTCTCAGCAAAACAAACATATTCAAAAAATAAGAAAAAACTAATTTTTAGTGCACAGAAAGTCCTAACCATCTTTATTACTGTTGTTCTTTATTAATATTATTAATGAATATAATAACATTATTATTCATGTACAGTACTTTGGTATTAAATGAAGTATTTTAAATTCACTTTGCTTCAATAATCACCATATGCGCATTTCTTTATATTAGATGTCGTCTCGTCGGCATGGAAAATGCAGAAGTAGGTTGTGTTCTCGATTGCACTAAATGACGTCATAATCACGTAATAAAATATACAATATCTATAACTAATTTGTATCATTAAAGAAATTATTTTTTTTTATCACTGTTAGTTGTTGTCGGTTGTAAGACTACAAATTTATGCAGTTCTAAAAGACATAAAATCTTCATGCTAGTTACCTATTTGATGCACATGTTTAGTACTGTTACTGTTCAGTAAAATAATAAGTTTCTTTTAATTCTTTTAATATAATAATTTCTGATTCCGAAATTTTAGCAGAGTTCTATTGAATGAAACTTGTTGAGAACCACTATTTTCACTGTAGCTGTAGATTTATTTTCACGGCGGCGTTTTTCTTTTAAGTACCTTTAAGTGTATTTAAGCAATATTAGTGAGATATGGTGTATTTAAGTGAAATGATAAATATGTTAAAATTATGTGCAATGAAAGTGCACATGCGGCAAAAATTTTATATGCAGATTGGTATGAAAATCAAAAAAATATTCCAAATGGACATAAATAAGTAGATAATCACTACAACTTTGGTCCATACCACTTTTTTTAATGTAAAAATAAAAAGATAAGGGTAGAATGTTATACAGGGTGTAAGTTTAAGTGGGGGTCAGTTTTTTAGGGGTAATAGTACGTATTCTCCTGAATACGAATCTGAAATTATTATTTTTTTAATAATAAATAGTCAAGTTATAATTACTTTTTAAAATGCACTTTAATTCTTATGTACACCGCCATTGAGCGGGGCAGCCCGAATGTGTGTGTGAAGTTGTGTTAGTACACTATCAACGTTGCCAGTTGTTTTTAAATCGATCTACATTGTATGATTTTTACACGACTTATTAAATATTAACTAATATTGGTACACGGTTGCGTTACTAATTGTGAATATTTGTTTTAATCAACTATTAAACAACAAAAATAATTAATAATAGTTTTGTGAAAACAGATTAATTTAAAATTATGACTTGTCATTTAAAAGTCACCATGTTATAATGTGAACGAAGCGTCGAACACTACAAACAGCTGTTCTGTTGCGGAATGCCTTGCCTTTGAAGGCGCGGAAGAGACACCTGATTACACCAAAAATGGCCGAAAACTGCACTGTTTCATTTGGTTACACATTTGTTTAGTCTTCGACGTTACCATTTTGGGGAAACTTGTACATAAAGTGCCTTTATGTGGTGTATAATCTTATAAAGTTATTTATTTCAGTATTCAGTGACAATATGGTGAAATTTTGTTTTAATTTCAAGTTTTTGTACATTATGAAAAACCATGTATATGAATCAAGAAAGAGTTGATATGGTTAGAGCCTGCTTTTTGTCAGGAGCAAAGAAAACGATATCAGGTAGATTACGCCGACTTATACCGAATAAGAAAATGTTTGTTAGATTACTTCAACATTTAAGAGACTATGGGATTTTTGAACCAGAAATTTTAAAAGCCGTGGAAGAGGATCCTGGTACCAGTACTCGAAGCTTTTCCACAAAATCTTAAGTGTTGTTATAAAAATCAGGTGAGTAAACAGATTATTTATTTTTGTGTTGTTCACTGCTTGAGTGTTCTGTTAAATTACTTGCTAAATACTGTTTTATGGTTTATCTTGTTTAAAAGATTTAAACTTTAGTTTTTATGGGATGGTAGAACTCGTGGCGAACACCCACTCAATAAAATTAGTATGCCAAACCACCACAACGAGTGATGTGAAAGCTTTTTAATAACTTTTCCATTAAAAATTAGATTCGACAACATTGCAAAGCCCAGTTCCCAATTGTGCATAATCTGCCACTAAAGTGCGCCATAGTTTGAACTTATACTAGCTTGTCCAGCGGCGGGATAAGAAAATTGAAAAAAAGGACTAAAAAAAATTAAAGTGTTCATGATGGAATTTGAGAAAATAAATTGTTGGTACACATTTCTAAAAGTCAAAGGAAACCTCTGTAAAAATATGACCCCCACACAAAGTTACACCCTGTATATGGTAACATTACCTGCAATAATAACCTTTCATCAGCCCATACAGCAGCTTTATTCCAATTTATAACTTGAGAGAAAGGCAATGCCCAGCTATTCGATAACAAAACTGGTATACAACCAGCTTGGAGAGCTTCTAAAAATCTAAATGAACCTAATCTTCTACCTCGAGGCACCAAGCAAAAAGTAGAGTTATGTAATAATGTCTCATAATCGTACCTATCACAAAAATAAGTAATGTAGTTTTGTTATTTTTTATAGCTATAAATTTCCAAAAATAATTTCCAACATGCTTAAAATGGCTTACTTATCATATTCTTTGTTATCCTCATCACAGCGTTCATCTTTCATATCCTTCCAACTTTTTCCATGACGGCATGTAGTAACCATAATAATATCTTTTTTATTATGCAAATGATATAAGGAATTCCTTGTATCTGAACCGATTCCATGTACATATCTTTTACCCTTAAATGCTAACAAATAGGTTTTATCCAAGGGAAAATTATTTGTGGAAGTAGACCCCTGTTCACCACCTTTTGCAGGATGTATTTTATGAAATAATGGAATACTTATATCGAAACCCACCCGAACATGGTTATCAGACATACTCGCTTTTGCTAATATAGCTTTTCCATAATCGAAATCCAAGTCATTTTCAGTATAGTTTGGCCATGTACCCGAATATAAATTAAAAATGACATGATTAAGGCCATTATTCCAATGAGGTAAGCGTTGCAGCCTACTCTGCATATTTCTAACATAGTCATTACTTAAACGATCTCTATCCAAAGTGTCTACACTTAATACAAAAATGCAAGCTATTTTAGGATCGGCAGTATAATATCTAGATTCTAATAGAACATTGAGCAGTTTAATATAGGACGGACTAGGCACACTGCTGTCCTCTGGAGGATATACATATACTTTGAAATCTTTCTCACATTTAGTATAATCAAAACATGTTTCCATACGGCAATGTTTCTTCTCATCCATGGAAATTCTTTCCAATTCGCCCACTAAATAACCAGTCTGTACTAAATTCATGCTGACATATTCCGACAACATTTCTATTTCAAAGAACAATTCTTCATTATGTCGTAAATGGTAGCCTCCAAAATACCAGAAAGTTAAAAATGCGACTACAAAAACTAGTAAGTAGCGCCTTTTCGCCTGCATATTTCTATCTGACCAATTTTATATTTACTTATATATACATTTTCATATATAAAGTATTTTAGTATACTTTAAAAAAAATGTTTTGCGTACCTAAAATATATATAAACTATCTAATTATATATTTATATATTTTCACACAGTACTTACGATATGAGAAAAGATTTTCTAAAAATTAATTTCGTAACTAGTACTTGCCATTTTCCATCCAAATTCTTTTTCTAATTGTATAACCTAAGAACTGTCGAACTGTTGCACTTATCAGAGGATCATAATCATAGAAAAAATAATATACAATTCCATTTTCTATGATCATAATACAACAGCTGTGACTGCTGTCAGTTGACTTACTAGCATAAAAAAACAGAGAAAAGAAGAAGGCTCATTTATAAGGATAAATGATAGTCAACGAGCATTTTCAAAACGATTGGTACGCCACCATGCAGGCGGGTGGCAAAATTCATGCGATGCGCCGCGCCATTATTTTATGGCTAGAAATTGGCCTCAATGATTTGGGATCGAGGGGGATTATCCCTCTTTATCCTGCCTCATCTCGTGTAGGCCTGGACAGCCTTCGTAGGTGGGCCCCATCCGTCGTCTACCCCGACCGCAAATGCGGCCGGTGTAGGCGCTTTGTGGGACCTCCTTTTGTCCTGGCTGGGCCCCGCCGGCTAGGGCCCTTTCTTCTGGCGCTCTTCTTGCTTCGCCGGCTCGTCTGTGTAAACCCCGGGGGTAGTGTCATGTTTATGTGTGGTATGGTTGGGTAGGGTAGTGCGGCTATGCAGCCTGGGATGCGCTTTGCTAAGGTGGCCCTTAGGCTAGCGCGGGAGGGGAGGGTTAAGGAGGGTATGGGGGGTGTGTATGTGTGTGTGTGTGTGTGTGTGTCGTTGTCTTCGTTTCTTGATCCTGGCTGTCTCTGAAACAGAAAAGGTTAGCGGGCAGGGGGGGGGTCATTGGGGTGGTCACCCAGGGTCAAAAAGTTGGTGTCTAGGTCTTTTGTGTTTGTCGGTCACGTCGGGTACGTAGTCAACGGCTTGCCTGAGGAGGGGATTGTCATGTCTAGCGGCTACGTCAAATCGTTTCTCCGCGTTTTGTCTTATTGTCTGTGTAGCGTTTGTGTATTGTAAGTCTCGTAATATGTCAGTGTTTCTTACGTACCAGGGCGCGTCGGTGGCCGTGCGGAGGGCTATGTTTTCCACAGCCTGTAATGACTTTAAGTGGCTTTTTGCCGCGTGACCCCACGCCGTGGAGGCGTAGGTTAGCTGCGGTTGAAGTACCACCTTGATAAGCGTTCGCTTATTCCTTAAACTGAGGGTGTTTCCACCTTTGAGTAAGGGATAGAGCCTAGCCCTGGTGGTCTTCGCTCGCGCCACCGTCTCCACGATGTGCGGTTTCCACGTGAGACGCTGGTCCATCGTCACGCCCAGGTATCGTGTTTGTCGATTCCAGGAGATAGGTTCCTGGGATAGTGTCAGTCTGTCGAGGTTTTGTGGGATTTTTCGTTTGGTAAAAAGGATAGCCGAACTTTTGTTGGGATTAATTTTGACTTTCCACCTGTTGCACCAGGTTTCAAGTTGGTCTAAGGAGTTTTGGAGGAGGGAGACGGAATATCTAGGATCTACGGATTGGGATGTGATTGTCAGGTCGTCGGCGTATAAGTATATGTTGGTGTTGGGGGGATGTGGGATGTCGGAGTTGTAAATGGTGTATAGGTGTGGGGACAGGACGGTGCCCTGGGGGACACCGGCCTCCATGGGACGGGTGGTGGAAAGGGAATCTTGGATTTGGATGCGGAATTTTCGGTGGTGTAGGTAGGATTTTATGAGTTTGGTAAAGGATATGGGATATTGGTTGGTGAGCATTTTCATCAGTAGGCCTTCATGCCAAACCGTATCGAAGGCCTTTGCGACGTCCAGGAAGACAGCACCAGTGTACTGTCCCCTGTTGAAGGCCGCCGTGATGTGCTCGGTAAGGCGAAGGATTTGGAGTTCAGTGGAGTGATTGGGTCGGAAGGCGAACTGCTCGTCTGGAATGACTTGCAGTTCTTGGGAGTGGGTTCTTAGACGGGTTAGGATAATTTTTTCTACCACTTTGCTCATAGCCGGGAGCAGGCTAATGGGCCGGTAGTTGGATGGGATGGTGTGATCTTTGTTGGGTTTTGGGATAAGGATTATGTTTGCTGTTTTCCAGCGGGTAGGGAAGTGTCTTAGTCTGAGTGTCGCGTTTGTTATGTTTAGTAGGGCCATGAGGCCCTTGTGTGGTAGTCGTTTAAGTGTCGTGTTATGTATATTGTCGGGTCCGGGGGCTTTTCTGTTTTTAAGTCTGCGTATTGTCAGTCTTAGTTCGTCAGGTGTTGCGGGGGGGATTATGTCATTGTCTGGCTCTCTGTCGACGCGTCGGGCCGCGCGCTCAGCCACTATCTCGAATTCCTCGTCTTCGTCGGGCAGCTGAGGCAGTCTACACTGCAGTTCCAGGCTATCGGCGAAAGCCTCGGCCTTTTCCTGGTTCGTGTAAACCACCCCCACACTACCGTGGATTGGAGGAATTTTACGGCGAGCGGTCTGTCGCAGGGCCCTCTGCGTTTTCCAGAGGCTGTTGTCTTGTGGATCCAGCGACTCCAGGTGCCTAGCCCAGTTATCCTGGGCCAGTTCATCCAGAGCCGCCTTCACCCGTCTGTTAAGTACGTTTAAGTCATGTCTGTGTCGGGGGAGGCGGGTGCGGGTGGCAAGCCGTTTCGCACGTCGTCTGTCACGTATTAAGTTTTTTATGTCATCGGGGAGGGTGCCCCGGGGGTTTGTCAGTCGGGGGACAATAGTCTCCGTCGTAGTCTGAGTCAGGGCGTTTTTAATGTCAGTCTCAAGGGAGAGGATTGCCGCCTCCAGATCATGGGTGGTTTCGATGACTGGGAGCGCCATGTTTCCTTGCATTACTGTTCGGAAACGCTCCCAGTCAGTGAACCTCCTCGTGAAGGTGCCTTCATATCTCTGTCTTCGCCCCAGATCCAGAAATATTGGATTGTGGGCGGAAGACCCTTCGTATTGGGTGGATATTTGGGCATTTAACGGTATAGATTTTAAGAGGGCAATGTCGATAACGTCGGGGCGTCCTACGGGTCCGTAATGTGTCGGTTCTGTCGGTCCGAGTATAGTCAAGTCGTCGTGTCTGTCTTGATAATTCAGCAGGACGCGACCTCTTGTGGTCGTCGCCCCGCTGTGCCATATGGGGGACTTCGCGTTGAAGTCCCCGATGGCAATTCATGCGATGAATGGGTTGCATACTTCCACTATATAATTTAAAGTTTCATTTATTTAATAAGCATAAAAAATACATTTGTTACATATTACTTATTACTGAAGCAAACGTATTTTTTATACTTTTTATAATAGGGATGGCATGTACACGTGTATGAAAAAGAAATACATGGTATTACAAAATTTTTATTCAAAATGTAAAAATTAAATATGTAAATGGTTCTGCACAATAACAATTACATTTATTCATGGCTGAAAGTCCTGGATAACATAACAGACGGTATAACCTACGAATTATAAATACAATTTTCAGTAAATAAAATATTTTTGACATCGTTCAATATTATTTTATTACTCATAGTATTTACTAGACTTACCCAGTATAGTCCACCAAATAGTTACATCTCAATTTTAACCCACTGTATATAGATCATCGATTTTCTTTAAGCTGCCGAAAGCACAAACTAATTACCTCCTTTATAAAAGCAGTTCAGGGCCGAAAGTCCTGGAGAGTATACTAACAGAAGGTATAACCTACAAATTACAAATACAATTTTGAATAAATAAAATATTTCTAACATCATTCAATATTATTTTACTACTGGTCACACACTTCACAGCTTCTGTTCTTACTTATCTGGAGGAAAAACATATTCACAATTTAATTAAAATTGTTTCATCTTCTGTGTCTTCACATAACAGAGGCGAGTGACGCTGTGGGAATGTGGGATGCCCTGTACTGCAGATAAAATAGGGTGTGACGGAACATTTTACTCTGGTGGTGCCATCACGTATGAAGGTGGCAAACTACTCGTCGTTTTTCAATTTTGCCTATAAGTTTCTCCGGGCTGCTTACTAGTTTTACTTTACTACTTACTTACACTTACCAAGGAAATTTATTTGTCAGAGCACAGAGCCACAGCTGGGGGGCTTTCGTTTTGGCAAAAATAATACCTATTAGCAACTAATATAAGTTATATAGTATAATAAAGTATTATTATTAGTATTATATTCTGTGGTATTATTACTATTAGCTACTAATAGCTACTATTTTTGCCAAATCGAAAGGCCCTCAGCTTTCGATGTACTGGATGAAGCACTCACTTTTTATGCATTCCAATCACAAATTCCCATGAACACGCTCTACGCGCCGTTACTAATGCGTTGTTTATGGCCTAAATGATTTTGGACTGAGGGGGACTATCCCTCTTTCTAACCTACGCCTCCACGGCGTGGGGTCACGCGGCAAAAAGCCACTTAAAGTCATTACAGGCTGTGGAAAACATAGCCCTCCGCACGGCCACCGACGCGCCCTGGTACGTAAGAAACACTGACATATTACGAGACTTACAATACACAAACGCTACACAGACAATAAGACAAAACGCGGAGAAACGATTTGACGTAGCCGCTAGACATGACAANTCGTGACGTCACACTAGCGAGTGACGCTGTGGGATGCCCTGTACTGCAGATAAAATAGGGTGTGACGGAACATTTTACTCTGGTGGTGCCATCACGTATGAAGGTGGCAAACTACTCGTCGTTTTTCAATTTTGCCTATAAGTTTCTCCGGGCTGCTTACTAGTTTTACTTTACTACTTACTTACACTTACCAAGGAAATTTATTTGTCAGAGCACAGAGCCACAGCTGGGGGGCTTTCGTTTTGGCAAAAATAATACCTATTAGCAACTAATATAAGTTATATAGTATAATAAAGTATTATTATTAGTATTATATTCTGTGGTATTATTACTATTAGCTACTAATAGCTACTATTTTTGCCAAATCGAAAGGCCCTCAGCTTTCGATGTACTGGATGAAGCACTCACTTTTTATGCATTCCAATCACAAATTCCCATGAACACGCTCTACGCGCCGTTACTAATGCGTTGTTTATGGCCTAAATGATTTTTGGACTGAGGGGGACTATCCCTCTTTCTAACCTACGCCTCCACGGCGTGGGGTCACGCGGCAAAAAGCCACTTAAAGTCATTACAGGCTGTGGA